TATGCCTGGCTCAGTGCCACACCACCCACTGGTTTGCATGGCATCCTCACTTTTGTCTCTCAAACTTGTGCTTCATTCTTGGAATCGCTAAGCTGAACACGTCTTTTCCCGTTTTTAGAGTTGCATCTGTATTGAGTGATCCTAATAGTGGATAATCTGAAAATCGGAAACATGGTCTTATTTACTACTGCCTCTGAATAATTTTGTAGTATCATTATTTTATTAGATGTTTTAGACAGGAACACAGACAGTGAAAGTGGTGAGATATGAAAGAATAAAGGAGAGGTGAGTAATTGACAAACTCTCCAAAAGATATTACGTATAACATATAAAAATCATTGTATTCACTATATACAGATATACCACATAATTGGTAATTACACAGGAGATGTATATAGTGGGTAGGTGAGTGTGTGTGCGTGTGTTCAATTGTGGTGACTTGAAAAATTGTCTCTGTTAATCTTCTGCCTTGCTTTGACAGATCAGATGGAGTATTTCTTGCTCATCACATTTTTCTTAAATTGGCTCACTTCTTTAATTTTAATGAAAATGAAAACTAACCCAAGTAGAACAATTGCAAAAGATAATTTCACACCTATTGTCACAAATGGAAAGAAAACACTGAAATATTTAGAATATCAAAATGTTTCTGAACCATATTAAACTATCTCATATACTATACTTAAGTAAAAATTATAAAGAATGAATGATTAAGTGTTAGCCAAAAGCCATTGTGAAGTCATCTGAGTTTAAATCTATTCCAAGTTATTTTCAAACAGACTATAAATTTAGATTTTAAAGTTAAGAGATGATATTAACATGTAAAATATATAATTTTTATTTATTTTTGTAAAACTGTATCCCTGGATGCAGAAGTTCAAAGTTGGTATAATTCATATTTCTTATGAAATATTATTGTCTATCACCATCATTTTTATAAAAGTAATTTTTCTGCCTCAGGCTACACCAAGCAGGCAGTGGTTATGGACTGGGTTTGACAAAGCTCAATTCCTTCTGCATAATATTAACACTCTTCTTTGCCAGCCTACCTTTTGTCTGTATATATTGTTTACATTTTATTTTTTTTTAAATTTTATTTAAGAGGAAAAAGAGAAAAACACAAAACAAAACAAAGCAGTGTAAGGGTACACATAATACAGAACTACAAACATTGTGAAGATGGCCATTCTCCCCAAACTGTTATACAGATTCAGTGCAATCCCAATAGAAATACCATCAACATACCTTATAGATCTAGAGAAATCACTCCTAAATTACATTTTATTTTTAATTGATGTTTTGATACTTGTATGCTTAGCAGAATGATAGAATCATTGCTATGAGCTTGGTTATCAACTCAAATTATTTGGTTTCTTTGAGATGGAACATTGAAAATCCTACCTTCAAGTTAATTTGAAATATGGAATACATTATTATTGAGTATCATAGATCTAAATATTAAAACAGAAATGCTAAATCTACTGGAAGATAAAATAGGTAGAAATCTTGATGACATAGGGGTAGGCAGAGAGTTAATGAAGAAAAATCAAACTGTCCAGAAAATACTTCTCAGAACCAACAACTGGGATCTTATCCTATCAAATAGTTTTTGCATGTCAAAAGAAATGTCCAACAGAGTGAAAAGAAAACCTATGAATTGGGAAAATATCTTGGCCAACTATCCCTCAGACAAAGGACTGCTATCTAGAACGTACAAAGAATTTTAAAAAATCAGGACCCCAAAATTCAAGGACCCAGCTCAGAAATGGTCATCTGAGATGAATGCACACTTCTCAGATGAAGAAATATAAATGGCAAATAAATATATGAAAAAAAATTTAACACCAATGGTCATTCAAGAAATTCAAATTAAAACTGGCAAGATCAAGAAATCAACCAAAAAGTAGATTGTTCTTAATATAAATAATTCTGGAGAGAAGACAATGGAATATAACTATGGTTTCAAACCCTTAAAATTATTTTTTGGTGGAACTCATCTACAGTTAGCAGAGAAATTAATCCCAGGTATGCTCTACAAGCACTGTAAAAAAAATATTTTACTGTTGTTTGTTTTGGAATTCTGAAACCATGACTTCGAACAACTTGGAGAACTAATAGCTCAGACTTTGAACAAAAAAGTGAAGCACATGATGAAAAGAAAAATGACAAACAAACCTCCTTCATGACTATCATATAAAGCTGAGATTGTTAATCTGGGTAGCATTTAAGTTTACAAAATCTTTGGAGAGGGAAACTACATCCATTCTACTGAATACCTGCGTTTAAAATTATGTTGCAAAATCAGTCCCTAAGAGGAAAAAGGCAAGCAAAGATCTAGAGAACTTTGAAACTTCTCTGAGAGCTGCAGGGATGATAGCGCCTTCCCAAGCATTAGTCAGGAGACCAATAAGAGCTCATAGAAACTGCAGTTCCAACAGGACTGAATGAAATGGGACTATCCTGGTTTTTTGATCTCCCATAACCTAGGATGTCCACAGACCGAGCAGCTTAAGAGGAGGATAACATCCTCTCATGACTGTGGAGGCTCAGATCGAAATCTGACTCCATAGCACAAGCCCTGCTCTGTCTCCTTGTTCCTAAGGCTTGTGCTCCCCACCCCATCTGAACTTCTCTCTCCTCTTAAGGATAAAGAACTCACGGGAATGAGAAGCTCTCTCATGTTCACAAATGACATCTCCATGACTCTACTTCCAGTTAAAGTCCTTGCGAGTCTCTGTGAGTTAAGACTTCAGCATATATTTTGGGAGACCCCTTTCTACCCATACTGTGTAACAATGGTGCAGCGTCAAACTTTTCTCTACAAGCATGGTGTAGAGAAAGCAGATGAAAATTCCTCAGCCTCCAACAGCAGCATCTGGATAGGCTACTGGAAGGAAATAGCTTGGCAGTAGGGTCTAAGAGGATTAATTCATAACCAGCTAACCTGACAATAGGAGGCCTGGACAAGTCCAACCGTGTAAGTAGGGAAGCAATAAAGGAAAGAGAATTAAAATGTAATTTTTCCTGAGAAACTGTAGTCCAGATGCTCAGAAATATGTTTCTGGAAAGTATTATAAGAACAGTAGAATCAAGGAATAAAGTTTCCTCACTAGTAGTTAAAGTGGTAGGACCTCTAAATACTGTGATAGAATAAGGAAGAACATAACTTTCTCATGATATGCAGAGTTGAGTAACATGAACACCTTCTCTATTCAGAATTCTAATCTTAATCTAAAGCAGGGGGAACATTTTTGAAAGACAGAACAAAGTTTCAGGCTATTGGCTCCGACTTTGTGGAAACAGGCCTTAAATATTAGACATGTGTCAATGGGCAGCACAGTAATAAAGTTTAGTATGAAATTCATGCCTTTTCAACAGAAAAAGATGGAAATTAAGGTCTCTGGCTTGTATTGCTAGTGTTTTGTTTAGAAAACAAAATAAAATATTGGAGTGGCTTCTGAGTAATGTCTCTGCCACAAACATCACAGCAGCATGATCTTAGAATGTCAGATTTTAATGTCAAGCTCTGTGGAAGCAGATGGCACTCGAGTGCCCACATTTTTCTGTTTAACCCTAAACTCTTGGAAGTGAACATTGCAAATTCAAGGGCAATAGTAAGCGATGATAATCTTCCATGCTGCTCTCAGACTCAATGCCCCCGCTTCATGGAATGCCTCCCAAGTTCCCTGAGGAATGGCCCACTGGTAAGTGGAGGGAATGTAGCTATTTGCATGAATCTGCCTTGCCAGGTGCCTCAGCACCATCTTTGCTTCTTCTTGAATTCATTCTGCACTTACTCAATTGTCTGCTCGTTTTAGTTAGACGCACAGTTATCTGAGGATGAATTAAATTTTCATGAATGCTTCCATTTCCCTCTGGCTTTTCCCTATTAGGCTATCAAGTGTTGTAGAAAGGACATAAATATAATTGTTCCTGTGTCAAGAATACATTATAGAACAAGTGATCTGAGAATGTATCAATCTAGAGAAATTAGATAGCAAGTCTCATCATTTCTGTTGTATCCAGGCCTAAATGTGATACATTTGTGTGTATGTGATAACATTGTGTGATGACATTGTGAAATGCATTGATCACATTTGAATGTACGTCCAAAGCACTGCCATTTAGCTATATGACTGATAACTTGTAGATACTGAAAACTGAAGCTGAGCTGCTAATTCAGAGAGTCAAAGAATAAAATGGTAGTAACAAAAGCTGGAAGTAAAGATTTGCAGATCACATTGCCAAGGTGCTAAGTGATGATACTTCAAGGTAAAAAATTAGACATTAAGTACCAGTAAGTCATACTCCTTTGTCTTTTGATTATGATGAAGGCAGGAAAGACTTTTGATTAAGATGCTTCTCCTTTCTAACATCAAAAAATATGTACTAAGATCCACATCAGGGAGCTAAATGGAGAAAACAAAGTATTGGAACATAAATATCATTAATAATTGAAAATGCAACAAGAAGAACAAACTTTATGATTATAGTAATACATGACTTGAAGTTTCTAAATATAATTCTGTTGCAAAAAATCTACTTAGGTATAGACATTTTAATACATTTTAGGTAATCTACAGTCATGAAATTCACAGTCATGGAAGATAAATGAATTATTTTTTTCTGCAAAAACTGCACAGGTCACAAGAAATTTGTGATGAACAATTGTATAAATAAAAAAACCCCTAGGAAATAGTATTCAAATCTAAAAAAAATTTGCAAAATAACAATTATTTATCTAAACTGATTTGTTTTATATTTTTGGTACAATTTTATAAATACATTGACACTGAGCAGTTTTATGACCGTGATAGCAGGTGGAGGGTAAAGCATTTGTAATATTCAGAGCATGTTCGTGAGGTAAAACGGCACTCTGTCACAGTGGACATTTTAGTATATGAAAGAGCTGCCTTTAGACAGTGCTATTTGAGCTAGGAAATTTAAGGTGGGACAAACACCATACATGCAAATATACCACTAGGATACATAGTTCAATATCACTGCCCCAAGCATTTCTTGGTGATTACTTTGGTGACTGCCTCTTTAACATCCTTGTTCCTCAGACTATAGATCATGGGGTTCAACATGGGAATCACTGTGGTATAAAACACAGCCACCATCTTGCCCTGCTCCACGGACTCCTCTGTTGGTCGCCTGAGGTACATGAATATGAGGGTCCCATAGAACATGGAAACAGCGGTCAAGTGTGACCCACAGGTAGAGAACGCCTTCTTCCTCCCATCAGCAGAGCGCATGCTGAGCACAGCCACTACAATGAGAGTGTAGGAGATAAGGACCACAGACAGGGAGTATGTGAAGTTAATTCCAGCAATCACAATCATCGTGTATTCTTTGACACGCACCCCTCCACAGGCAATCTTGATGAGGGGAGGGTCTGCACAATAAAAGTGGTTGATTTCAAAGTTGCCACAGAAATACAAACCATATGTCCACAGTGTGCACATTAAACTCACAGAGAATCCGTAGAGGTAAGGTACAGAGATGAGCCGAACACACACAGTCCTGGACATTTTACTGCCGTAAATCAGAGGGTTGCAGATGGCCATGTAGCGATCGAAGGCCATCACTGCCAAGATGTAGACCTCGACATGGACAAGGGCAATGAAAAAGTAGCACTGCACTAAGCACCCCGCGTAGGAAATGGTTTTGGTCTTGGATAGTAAGTTTTCCAGCATTTTGGGGGTAACATTGGAGGAGAACCACACATCCACAAAAGACAAATGACTCAGGAAAAAGTACATTGGGCTCTGAAGCTGGGGACTGATGCCAATCAAAATAATCATACCAATATTCCCTAGCAAAGTGATCATGTAAACAATCAGGAACACCACAAAAAACAGAACCTGGAGCTCTTGATGACTTGTCAACCCCACAAGAATGAATTCTGTCACATCCGTGAAATTTGGCATTGCCTGAGCATTGAGTAGGATGGGGTGGCCTGTAGAGACATTTTTTTCAATGTGAATATATTAATTTTTCTGAAGCTTTACATTCTAGTTATTTTAATCGTGTTTTTTTTAAAAAAATTAAATACAGTGTTTACCCACCAATGTCTAAAGTAAGATTAAAAATACTGCGTGTATAGTGTAATGAGTACATAACATAGTAAGCTATATAGATTTAAATCAAATCTAAGTTACATGATTTTACCTTGTCTGTCTTAGCTCATTTTTAAGTGAGAAAATATTTAGGGAGATGTGAGCTTTGTGTGTGTGTGTGTGTGTGTGTGTGCGCTCGCGCGCGCATGTGTTCATGTGCATATGTGTGAAATAGAGCTAAATATAAAGATTTTTCTATATTAAAAACTTTATCCTTAATTAAATTGTCTATATTCTCTCCTTATCAGAATTTGATTTATTTGGCACTACAGGTAATACTACTGGTTTTACTATTTTATTTTAAATACAAGGTATATTAAAAATAACATCAAGATTTTTTGGAAATGTGACCTAACATTCTTCTGATTTCTTCCAATCATTAATAGGTTTATTTCTCTTCTTCTACATACAATCATTAGTTGGGTGGTAGTGAGCATTACCTTGGAGATCTGTCAACTTCCAATTTAAAGGGCAGCTAAGGTAGCTAATGTAATAGATATTGCTAATGTAACAGATGTTGAGACATAGTCAAGTATATAGTTTTCTTAGTTTCCTGATGTGTAGGTCAGCATTGTATCTGTTATATGAGCACATCATATCATTCAGTATATTAATAGTATTAAAACTTCATGAAAGACTTTTCTCATGCAGCAGTGCCAGATTTATATGTAGAAGAATAAACAAGTTTTAGTGATTTCTCATTGAGTCTTTTACATGCAAGTAGCTGTGAAACAGCTTCCATTTGCATATCCTCTTTGCTAAGATGGAACTCAGGAATGAGGCACTTAGGTCTCTTTGGCATCAGTTAACTGGCAGGACTCATTTGCAAACCAAATAATGCAATATACCATTGTTGCTCTATAATAACCATCTCTTGCTGCCTTTAGTAACCTATTCTAGGACGTCTCTTGTCATTAGAGGTCCATTTGGATTACCTTCCAACTGATAAGGCAATTCTCCCTTTAATAGCTCATAGCTGCTGGCTTGATAGAAACTTTTGTGATTACAGAGAAGCTGGACCCCAGAGACAGTAGACCAGTGCTTCCCCTCACCTCTCTATGTTTAGGATCTAGGATCCTCTAGTTTGACCTAGGATCACATTACAAGCAACATTTATGAGAAAATCAATTTACTATATAGGGATGAATTTTTTTATAAAACAATCAACAAGGTGGAATATATGATTCATAAGTAAGAAATTTTGCCAACATTTCAATTATTTCTTATGATAATAAAGAGTAAAGGTATAAATGAATGGATCTGTAATTTTTTCTCACTCAATAGTCCTTATGCTATTTATGTATATTGTAAAATAAGAATGTAAAAATCAATAGTCCAATAAATCAGTTTGTTAACAAAAAATCTATAAATAAGGTATTAGTGCTCTGTTTAAAATAGTATTTAAAACTATAAAATTTGACTGTATAATTCTATATCATGAAGAATATAAAATCTGTAGACCTACCTTCAGCCAAAGAGAATAAGAGGTGATAATTTTTCACTATTTAAAATAAAATCTTGAACACCATGGGTAATGGGAAGATTTCCCTCAGGTACTATCTAATTAATTATGAAAGGAATAATGACTAAGATTGCAGAGACATCTCAGGGTTGTAATTAAGGGCTGTACATAGAAAGAATTATTAAAATATTCTTGACACCATGATTATCTCCCCCATCACATAGATACCACTCTTTCATTCACACATTGCCAATTTTATGGTTCTCACTAAAGTTTATCCATGTATCTTGAAATATGTTGTTGAATTATTTTCCTTTTTTCCTGTATGACTGTTCTAAAAAGCACATTGTGTGAGAGGAGGTGTTATCAACAATGTACGCACCGTACACCCCATGGTTGTTCTCAGGTGTCAGCTGCCTCAAAATACAGACAAGGTGGCAGCACCTGGGAGAAGGACTCTAAACAGAGGTCAACACAAAGAGGAAAACACACCTTCAAATTAGACATCTGAGATCGAATCCTTGCTTCTACCAAGTTCAAGTGAACTTGAACAAATAACATACTTCTGAGCCTCTATGCTCGTATCTGTAGAAATAACTCTCAGACTCCATCGGTAAATAAATAAATAAAAACAAAGGCTGGCAATGTAGCTTCAGGCAGAAGCTCTGATTTCAGCCTCTAGTACCACAAAAGTTAAAAACATTGTAGAGATTATTATCTTGCAGTTCTTACAGGGTGATTGTAATGATCTCAGATTCTATAAGAAGTATAATTCTATCCACAATACCTACTCTTTATTGTTGTTTATGCTTGCAATACGTAACAATTGCACTCAACTTAGGGAACGGTATGCCCTTTATTTCCACTTAGTCTCCTCCACTCTCCACTTTCTCTAGATCTCTGTTCCATGTTTGCAAAGTCTGCCTGTTTGCTATCGACTTTCTTTAGTTTATATCTTTAAATTGTTCATATTTGGGTTTCTTAAATAAGATAAAGCCTGGAATACTTATTCTTCAGTGTACGATTTATTTCCTTTAGCATCATGGTCTCAAAATTTTCCATTTTTTTAATAACTGACTCAAATCTATCCTTCTTTAAGTTTGGATCCAATATAAAATAGTATATAATATAGTATTCAAAACAGTGTAGTATATACAGTATACCAAATAGCACATAAAACATTTTCTTTTTCCATTCATATATTTATAGTCATATATACAGTAATATGTATCACTGTAACACAATGTCTTTAAATCTTTGAAGAATGTACCCAAAAGAGGATTAGATGGGTGGAATGGAATTTCAATTTTTGGTTTTTGAGGAATCTTTATACTGATTTCCAAAGCTGTTGTACTAGTTTTCATTCCCACTGGCCATGTGGAAGTGTTCCTTTCCCCCCACAGTTATTGGTTTTTGAGTCCTGGTTGATAAACATTCACCATGGGTTAAGATGTACTGTCCTATATTTTTTGTATATCAACAATGCAGGGCTTGATATTATTTGTACAGTATCAGTGTCACAAGGTGCACAACTATTGTCTCCCCTCACCTATGGGATTGTGACTATTACATTTACTTAGAAGAATAAAAATATACACATGCAAAACAACTATGAAGCTACATTTTTTAATCTACTGTAGATAAAAGTTAAAACATAGAAAAATCCAAATTGGTAATGAACTATAAAATATATATTGATTCGGTTTGTTCTATGAAATTATGGACATAGTGTGTTCAACTTTTTTTTCTGGAATTTTCAGTGCCCAAATATTCACAAAGTTTCAGTGCTTTTTTAATTATTAGGGAAAAAGGTTATTATATAAAGTCATTTACACCAAAGAATTATGTCTTAATACACAATAAAGAATAGGTATATTGGAAAACAAGACGCACTATGTATCTGTGAATCATATTTCTTCATCTGTGTATATTCTCTACCAAAATAAAGTGATTTATTTATATACTTATTTATTTTTATGAGGACACGTTTTAATAAAGTTCTTTCACAGTTATTGACACAGGCATGTATTTTCTGAAATGACATAGATTTGAAACATGAAAGTTACAGGAATGATGCTGTTTTTCTTAATGAATACTAAAATATCTGGACAGAAGGATTAAATAAGAAGCTATTATTGTTTTCAAAATAGTAATCTTTGAACCCTTCACAATGAAATAAACAAGATTCTTTAAGCAACCTTATAATCCTCATTGGCACCACAATTTGCATATGAGAATATTAGGAAATAAACTTAAATGCTGTTTTTTTCTGCACTAAATCAGTTTGTCAATGGAAAATGAATGTTTCCCAAATATATCTGCTGCAATTTTGAATAACAAAAATAAAATATTAAACATAAATGGTTAAAAGTTGAAGTGCTATCTATAAACTTTGGCACCACTAGTTTTTTTCAGTGGATTATTTTATTTTCATTAAGATTTCAAGCTTTCATCAGTAAAAACAGGTTATCAATATTAAACTAGATTTTAAATTTTTCTTTCAATTTTCATTGATATTTTTCTCTTCCTGAAACAATGTTTACCATAACGTTCTAATATTGGACAATAACCTCCATTAAATAAATAATAGAAGATAACATAATGCCATATTTTACTTTATTTTGAAAAGTATGTTCTACTAATCAGTTTGTCCATGGCTTCTTTCACATCCTTGTTCCGTAGACTGTAGATCATGGGGTTCAGCATGGGGATCACTGTGGTGTAGAAGACAGCCACCATCTTGCCCTGCTCCACTGATTGTTCTGTGGGTTGTTGGAGATACATGAAGATCAGGGTACCATAAAATATACTGACGGCTGTCAGATGGGATCCACATGTGGAGAAGGCCTTCAGCCTTCCTTCTGATGAATGCATTCGTAGAATGGCAATGAGAATGAAAAGATAAGAGATGATGACTACAGTCAGGGAATAGGTGAAGTTCACACCTGGAAGAAAGAGCATTGTGTATTCTTTTACAAAGATCCCAGTGCAGGCCATTTTGATAAGTGGTGGGTCTGCACAGTAGAAGTGGTTGATCTCAATTTTTCCACAGATGTGCAAGCCATACGTCCAGAACGTTGCTGCCAGAGTGGTGAGAAAGCCATGCATGTAAGGGAAAGTAATCAGCCAAATACGGACAACCCTTGACATTTTGCTTCCATAGAGTAGAGGGTTCCCAATTGCCATCTACCTATCAAACGCCATCACAGCAAGGATGAAAATTTCCACATGGACGAGGGCAATGAAGAAGAAACACTGTACTAAACAACCAACATACGAAATGGTTTTTCTCTCTGATAACAGATTTTCGAACATCCATTGATGTATGGATGAAAACCATACATCAATGAATGATAGATGACTCAGGAAAAAGTACATGGGAATGCTGAGTTTTGGACTGACCCTAATTAACACAAACATGCCGATATGGCCCATCACTGTGACAATGTAGACCCCAAGAAACTTGATGAAGAACAGCACTTGCCTTTCACAGGGACTGGTTAACCCCAAAAGAATAGATTCTGTCACATCAGTGAAATTCAGCATTTCCATTATTCTGTCTATGTGACTTGTAGCTTTGGGAAAGTAAACATAAAAAGTACATTAGAAAGACTGGTAGAAGCAGTACTATATAAGTGAAGACTATTCTTACAGATTTATAACAAGGAAGCAGATATTGGAAAAATATTGACATATTTGGGGACTACCAGAATTCTGAAAGTGACCCTCAATGCTTTGTAAATTTATTATCACATACAATGTACAAACTTTTCTAGAAAATATTTAAAAATTGTAATCCTCAGAAAACACTAGCACCTTCTATGAGGTTAAGAGGTACAATCGAAAAATATTCCACCATCAAATAAACTGGAAAAATGTTTGTTTACTGCTTACAGACACAAAATGCACATAGTGGAGTTAAATGATGAGAATTTATATGTAAGAAAGTTGTATTACATTTGTTTTTCCCACTAAATAAAAAAAATTATGTATATGTATCTATCGGTGTGTATGTGTGCATGTACCTAACACAGAGGTGAAAGGGATTACATTAAACTCAATGAATATTTGTGCTCTACAGAACAGAGTGTGAGTCCATGGTGAATAACTTGAAGCAACTGGATAGGATGATGGATTTTGAAGATAAGACTGTGGTTGGTGTCATAACTTTCAATGGTTAAATAGAAGGCCTAAGACAGATATTCTCAAGACCACGTTTAACCTTCAGTCACATAGTTTGTCAAATGATAATGTGATGGTCCATATACACAGAAAAGGCAGAAAGCAGAAAGAAAGAAAGAAAGTAAACTCCATTACTGCAGTCCAATACAAGATATCATATCTAACAATAATTTATAGCTTTTCACTCACTCAACTTAAAAATGATATTTGAGAATCAGAAAGAACTTACTAATTGAATTAAATTAGAACAAAGTCTTGAGATAATTATGGAAAACTTAGGAGTACACTTACACAATATAAGATGCTTAAGGCCATCTAAAATTAAGGAAACTACCTCAGAATAGAGTTATTTACAGGCTGCACACTCTGCTATGAAGTTAAATTTGTCTTTAAATTCACATTAAATAGAGACAAAATTATCTCAGATCCTCATTTGCTATGTGATATAATAAACCACAACTGACATTTGTCTATGCCTGCTTGAATTTTTCTGCTTTAATAGTCATAGATCTGTGACAGTGAAATTTTTATTTGAAAGTTATATCTGACTATATGGTAACAATGAATGTCTGGCCCAAAGACAGATATGAATAATGAAAATTTTAGTACTTTCAAAAGCTAAATTCATGCTAAATGTAGTGGTGGTTCCCCAGGTGTTGCTGTAACAACTGGAAAATGAGAAGGCCCCTGGAAAGGTAGGGATCGACCTTAGAGAGTGAGGTTTACAGTGAAGTAGAGGCCAGGAAGCCTCAAGAATATTTACAGGATTTCCTGCTCATCAAATGCAAACATGTACACAAAATTTTCTCTTATTATGTCATGGTATTTTAAAGTAAATTACCAGGAGATATGGAATTTTTCAGAGCAAACATAAATCAATAATAATAATGTAACTATTTCATTCTACTTTCAGAAATTTGATGAATCCAGGATCCAAGACTTGTCTTATAGAACTGGACATATTTTATTCTTGCATTGTTTTGCTTTGCATCACGCTATACTTTAATAGATCTTAATAATAGTAATTGTATGGGATTTATTGTGCATAAATGTGAAAACTTATTACTCATTTATGCATTCAATATATACAAGAAAAATATTATTAGATCAGACTCACAAATACTCATAATAAGCAAGTCTTGTCTCCACTGAATATTCATGTTTGTGTGTCTTTTTTACAGTTTATATGAGATGGTTCTTGTATTCCTGTAAAGACTAAAATAGATAACATTAAAGATGTACATTACACCTGATAGATTTATTGTTCATTAACCTGAGCATCAGGAGAAATGCTGTCACTAAGAGAGCCGAGGCAGAGGGGCTGGGGATTTAGCTCAGCGGCATAAGCGCCTGCCTTGCAAGCAGGCAGTCCTGAGTTCAATCCCCGGCACCAATAAAAACGAAAAAGACAAAAAAAAAAAAAAAAAAAAAGAGAGAGAGAGAGCCGAGGCAGAAAGTGAGTATTTATAAGCAAATGGTGAACAACTTAAACCAGCACAGAAGACACTGGCAGTGGCCTGCAAGATAAACGTCCCTTAAGTATTTGCCTTCAGAAACAAGAGCAATTAGGATCATTGCCTTGAGGAGTGACCCAGGTGAAATTACAGCTTTAGAGGAAGAGTTGGCTGAGTAGACTTTTTTCTTCTGAAAAAGTGGAAGAAAAAAATAGATTCCTACAACTTCATTTTCCCCCAGTTTTTGGTTTTTTCTGCATAGTGTCTTGTTTAACTTCTGTTATTGTAATTGAACACACTATTGAGTAACTTAAAATATGCAGGACCAGTCACTCACCATCCTAGGAACTGTGAAGCCCAAAGCCCTGGACCCGTGATTGCTGAGAGTCTTTGTGCTGAAAACCAGGGGCACTCAGCACATCTCACAGATGGGGCATACGAGGAACAAAGCCAAAGTAGCTCTCATAGCTGATCTGTTCTCCAGATAATCCATTCACAGTCCAGTCGTCACTTACACGTCCCACCTAGCTCCATTCTGTAACACTTCAACACGGGGATTAAATATCAGCATGAATTTTCATGGAAACATCCAAATACAAGCAAACTGTTCTTGGGAATCAAACAACAGTAGTTTGCATGTATAATATTGAAGCTGTTGATGATGTCACACAACCTGCATCCACCAAAGCTGGGCTACATAGCTCAGCATCTGTAGCAGTTGGTTTTTCCAGAAGATGAATTGAGTAGTGTTGCTTCAGTTCAGAAACTTGTTTCTTTCCATGATTCAGGTCACCAATGCAGTTGGATAAGAACCAAATCAAATTCAGTGGTTAGGGTCAATGTTTTTCTATTGGGGAAATTTTATTTATGTCTCATCCAGTAGGGTATGTGACTGGAAATGAGGAAAGAATTGAGTTTATGACCTGAGACACCACTGCAGAATTCTCCAGTGGATCAACTATCTCTTTCAAGTCTATCTTTATAAATATTGAAAGACATAAAAATGGATAAAAAGAATGCATTTAGTGATATAAACCCATGCCGGATACTATACTAATTTAATTTTTAAACTACTACTCAGGCAAGCATTATTACTTCCCATTTTATAGGTAGAAAACTTGGTCTTTCCCAGGTTCAAAGATTTGTTGCCAATGACACTGTCTGTGCACTCTGGGCTAGAGTCACAGGGGCATAACTTGAGCTTACCCACCTCATTCTATTGCCCAAGAAGTAACTGTCAAAAACAAAGTGAAGCACTTGTGGCCACTCCTGCAGAGGTCCCCAGCAAGCAGAGTACTGTCACTGTGGACAGCAGGACACTGCACACTGAAGGACTGTACAAACCAGCAGTTGTGAGAGAGGTGAACCAGTGCTGTGCTCCCATTCACAGGCAAGCAGAACAGATGTAACCAAAGGGCCAGCATTTCATTCCAAAGGGAATAGGGTGAACCCCAGCAGAAAAACAGCACAGTCATCTCATGCTTAATCCTTGAGTGGGATAAGGGAAGCATCTTCCAGTTACAATAGACTCCTGGTGGTTGGGAAGAAGGCTAGGGGAATTCTACTGGAAAATAGGAGCTGGGACCACCCAGACTCCACTCAGGTGGATGCCGAAAGCCACTTTTAGCGCTACATGTGAAGAACCAGAAATTCCCTCTGACCTGGCGTGGGTGGAGTAGCCTGATACAGGCACACATTCAGACAAAGCCCTTGTCCTGTGACAGGATAGGGGCATTCCTCTCACCCAGTGATTAGTGGGTAAGAGGAGCTAGTGGAGAGGACTGAGGAAGCTGTGCAGGGAACAGAAGGAGCAACTGAATCAAGTCTGGAAGCCACCCCTGCCTTTCTCTACCAAAAAGGGCCACAGTGACGGAGATGACGCCATTGAGGTGAATGCGGGAAGGAGAAGTGGACACTGAAGCACTGTCAGCTGAAGGCCAGTCCTAGCCCCCACACCCTAAGGACCAGATTGGCCACTCACCCAGCACAAATTCTGCTGCAGACTCAGCAAGGCTACACAGCACATGACTGAGATCCAGCTTTGGCACTACCACAGAATTGTGGACACCAGAGGAATTTAGTGATCTTTCTTTGTTTGACTGTTTTTCATTTTTCAGCCTGATTAGGGCAGGTGTTTTATTGTTTGTTTGTTTGATTTTCTCTTTGCTTTTTTACTGTTTTTTTTAGTTTGTATTATTGTGTTTGCTCTTAAATTCTTTTTATTGTTTTTTCTTTTGATTAATTAGATTTGTGTCTTGTATTTTTCTTTTGTTCTATTCATCTTTCTCTTTTCCCTCAACTATCTCTGTTCATTTTATGATTTTCATGTGAATGAACATTGTCTCTTCTTTTTCTGGTATGCCTCAATATTATTTTGCTTTCTCCTTCACTCTTTATTTTCTGCCCTATTTTCCTGCCTCCCAGAAACTGGGTGATCATCCTTAGCCTTTCACCTTTGCTTCTACTACATTTCTCCTCATTCATCTCTTTATTGGTCCCTATCCCTCTTAAACACCATTCAAACTTAGTAAAATCAATTTACCAATGGGAAGTTCATCACATACAAATTCCTAGTATAAAATGGATTTTGTTATATAAATATAGGGACTCTCATAAAGTTAAAATTACCAAATTATTAGCTACCACAGTTTGCCATAGCTAAGCTGTGCTTGAATATACTGTTAGTGCTAATTTAACAATATAGCCAGCATGTCATAAATGTTGTAGTTAGCTTTCCTCCCTCATAGAACAATATTGTGATTGTTTGGGGCAATAATCACCATCACACTCTAGTACTAAAGGATGAAGTAGTAAGCCAAATAAATATCAACATCTCACTCTTAATAAATTGGAAAGGCATGTTCTTGGGATGGACACAAAGGCAAGAAACACCTACCTACACCTAGAATACAGCTC